TGTCATCGTCAAGACAGTATGGTACTGGCACAAACACAGACACATAGATCAATGGAACAGAATAGAGAGCCCAGAAATGGACCCTCAACTTTATGGTCAACTAATCTTCGACAAAGCAGGAAAGAATGTCCAATGGAAAAAAGACAGTCTCTTCAACAAATGGTGTTGGGAGAATTGGACAGCTCCTCTACAGTTGATGTTGAGCTAATCTTTGAATAGAAAGGACAGATTTATGACTATTGCTGCAAAGCATTTCTTTTTCCTTCCCCCTCAGGAAAAACAGGGCAATATTGTTAACATTGCTATTCATTAAGACCTTCAATAAAACTATCACATATTTTCTTTTCTTTTTCTTCTTCTTTTTCCTTCTTCCTTCTTCCTTCCTTCCCTCCTTCCTTCCTTCCCTCCTTCCTTTCTTTCTTTCTTTTTGATAAATAATTAAGTATTTTAATATCTTCTGTTAGTTCCTCATGGGTAAAGCACAGACGTGTCAGTATTCTAAATGATAGTATTTAAATACACAGGGATGGCCATGTGGCCCTCTATTATCCCCCTTAGAGATAAATATTAGTAGGGAAGAAATGGTGGCTTTTTTTTTAACCAATATTACCATTATATTAAATATTGGATTTCTTCTTTTATAACTCAGAGCTGAAAGCTTACCATTTGAATAAATGTCTGCAAGACTCGAATAAGTTAAAGTTTCATTGGTCACCTACCTTCCCAACTTAAAATAATTCATCTGAGATTAATTATCAGGCTTTGGGACATCTTTCCCCTAGGAACGTCAGCTTTATCAGCCCAGGCAAACAGTGTGAATTTTAGTGTCAGCCTCTTGAATCATTGCAAATAATGAGTCCTTCCTGCTCTGGAAAAAAAACCCATAATCAAGTAAACATTGGATTATAGTTGTGTGGTTACTGTAAACACAGACCATGCAACACTCAGAGAATATTTTTTCAAAGGTGAAAATCCTGGGCGAGACTGACTCACATAGTAGAGCTCCTACGTTGCAGCATCGGACTTGACTGCCCAGTCAATTTCAAATGTCGAAATTACTAAAGACATCCCTTTTTTTGGTGCAACAGATATAGTTCTGAACAGATGCATGTAGGTTTTAAATTAGCAAATTAAATTACCTTTTAATGTGCAGATTTTGCCTTTTAAAGGAATTACATATGAACTATTTAAAAAAGTAAATACACCTAAAATAACTTCATATATCTTTTTTATGTTTTGTACAGATTTTCCCTAAGAAAATCATGCTTAAACTGCAGCTATTGATAACTACTAACATTTCTCTGACAAGAAAACAAAGAAGTTCAGATCCAGTTCTTTTTGTTAAAAAAAAGGTAATAGTGGCAGCTAACATTAGAGACACCACAACAATGTTGAGATTCTATGTGTATTACTCCCCTTGACACTCTTGTCTACTCTGTAAAGGAAGTAGGACAGCAGATTTTATTATCTCTGTTTTATGGATAAAGAAACAGAGATGTCAAGTGTGTAGGTTACCTGCTGCACATCACTCAGCTAGGAAGTGGTAGTTTGCGATCTCAGAAATAACGCTTCCTTTTGCAAGTCCCACAGACTTTCCATTCCCATACTGATCACATTGCAAATGACAGTGATGTCAAAGCTCTTTTGGAAACATAAGCTCATTTATCTTTTTATCATTCGTGCAAAGAAGGCAGGTGTTCATGGATGAACTTCCTTTATTTGGGAACAGAGGCCCCAGGTATTACAATTTTTTCACTTTGTTGAAACCCAACATTAAGCCCATTTATTATAAAACCCATTTATTAAGCCCATTTATTATAAAAACTCTATACACATGCCATTCATTAAAGAAGACCACAAAAAATAACCAACCAAGCATCATCATTTCAAGTCATGGCAGATGGTCTCTATTATGAGGCTTGTACGTCCAGAGCCATAGATCGATTGCCAGCAAGAATACTAGTCAAGCTTAATGGATTTGCTATTTGTATTTTAAATTTTTTTTTTTTAAGATCTTATTTATTTATTTGACACAGAGAGAGAGAGACACACCCACTGAGAGAAGGAATACAAGCAGGGGGAGAGGGAGAGGGAGAAGCAGGCTCCCCGCTGAGCAGGGAGCTCGATGTGGGGCTCGATCCCAGGACGCCGGGATCATGACCTGAGCTGAAGGCAGACGCTTAACGACTGAGCCACCCAGGTGCCCCTGTATTTTAGAGTATCACAATTTTATGTTCAAAATTCAAAGGGTAATGACATTACCTCTGGGAATCTCTACATGGAATCCAGTTCACATCAGGGTCTGGGATATCTTCCAGATAGGGGTCAATGGTCTCTCTTGTGAAGACCCAGCCATAAATTCCATCTTCTGGAGTAGCGATGATATGTGCACCCTGCTCAAAACAAGTGGCAGCAGAAAAATTTTTTATAAATTCCAAATACCCACACTGTTTCTCAGTTTCAAATTTCCTTTACAATAGCCCAGCCAGCATTTTAAAAAAAGGGGCAATACCTGCCCGGCAGCCAGTTTAACTGCTTTCTCCAAAACATCTATGTTCTTGTTCATCAGGAGCAAAGCTCCTCCTTTTGGCACGGGTGTTTCTGTTCTGTTCGGTAGTATAACAGCATGTTCATAGACTGCAGCCATAAAAGCGTCCAGCGCACCAACACTCGGGACAAAGAGGGCAAATATTGCCACATATTTTGGGAAATATGACATAATCGTAGCTAAAATTTAGAGATCTTCGATAAACTCAGATCCTCATATCTGGCAGCACCGGAGAAACTTTTATGGTAAAGCCCTGCTTGCTACTACAAATGCATTACACAACACACTAAGAAGGGAGGTTGCACAAGAAAACGGACAGCTGAAAGTACATATTTAGATTGACTCAGGTGTGCAACGCTGTTGTTGTCACTGGTTCAGAGGTTCATTCAACTCTCAAAGTGAAATTAGTGAGCTGATCAGATGAGTCCACCTCAATCCAAAAAACTCTTGGACTCTTTCTTTCTTTAAAATAAAATACATGTTCCTGGTAGTTCGATGTTTCCATTAATAGAGCCAATACTCAACTCTTCTAGAAGGCAGCCACCATACCAACAATGTGTTGAGAACGTCTATATGTGGCTATAACAGACACAGAACAGACTGTAAGGCAAGCTCCAGTTGTAAGAGAGCTCACAAGATGCCAAGGAAGAATAGATACATGTGCTTATGATTGTGTTCACTTGTTCGTGACCAGTGGCCCTCAACTGTTGCATTATAAGAGGATTTCAGCAGGAACGACAGTTGCTGGTTTCTCCTGGAAAGACTGTCAAATAGTCTGAGATGTAGGAACCTTATCTGGCCACGTTGTAAAACACAGATTATAACATGGTCAATAATGACATTTTCTTCTCCCTTTGCTCCCACATCTAATTCATCATAAAGTTTCTTTTAAACGTCTCTTCCTCTTCTGATTTATTATGCTAAGCCAGATTCTGCTTTAAATTTATCTCCCTACCTGCCACAATGGCCAAAGTTGTTCATTCCACCCATGGCCATCAAATGAATTTTCTCTGAAGTCCAGCTCCTGTTATGTCACTTAGACTCCAAAAGAGTCAGTAATTTTCTATTGTTTAAAACACTAATTCTACAAATGTGGTCCATGCTTCATGAGAGGTAAGCAAGTTGATTTTGCAAGATATACAGATAAATACTTTTAATAGTTACAGACTGGGGAGCCTGGGTGGCTCAGTTGGTTAAACATCCAACTCTTGATTTTGACTCAGGTCTTGATCTCCTCATCATGAGATGGAGCCCCAAGTTGGGCTCGCGCTCAGCACTGAGTCTGCTTTTCTCTCTACCTCTGCTCCTCTCCCTGCTCACTCTCTGTTTCTGTCTCTCTCTCTCAAAAATAAATAAATAAAATATTTTAAAAAATAGTTATAGACTACCATGCTTATTAGAAACTTTATGACTCATAAATAAAATCTTTAAAAAGGGGAGGGCGCCTGGATGACTCAGTCAGTTAAGTGTCGGCCTTTGGCTCAGGTCATGATCCTGGGGTCCTAGGATCGAGTCCTGCATTGGCCTCCCTGCTCAATGAGGAATCTGCTTCTCCCTCTGCCCCTCCCCCTCCTCCTGCTCAAGCTCTCTCTCTCTCACTCTCTCAAATGAATAAAATCTTTTTAAAAAGGAAGAAAATTTATGATTCATAAACCCATAAATAGTAGAGTTTAGGACGAGGCAACATTAAAGATGTCCATCTATCTCAAAAGAATACCAAATAAGCAATAAATAGTGCATGGTTAATGCAAAAATCACGAAGATCATGACATAATGACATGATTAACTGAAATTTGGGAAAAGCTGACATTGTTCAAGTTCTTCTACAACCTGGATTTCAGATCTCAGTTAATGGCTTTTAGTCCTCTAATTTTTCAGGCCAAAGCCCTTGGAGTTATACTTACTTTTCTCTTTGTCTCTCCCTCTACACATGTTCAATCAGGAGACCTTTTGCTACCACAATCCTGGTCCAAGCCACCATCATCTCTGGCCTGGATTATTCCAATACCCTCCTACCTGGTTTTGGTACCACTACTTCTGCTTTTGCTCAACAGGAATCAGAATGATCCTATTAAAATATCAAACTGTGTCACTACTCTGCTCAAAATCTTTCAATGGCATCCCACTTCACTCAGAGTAAAAAGCCAAGTTCTTGCAACGCCTAGAAGCCTCACTATGATCCAGCCTCCTGTTACTTCTAACATCAACTCCTAGTAATTTCCCCCACGTTCATGTGGCTCCAGTTGTGTTGGTTTCCTTGGTGTTCTTCAAGCATATCCCCAGGGGCTATTCTGCCATCAGTATCCTGAGGAAAATTGTCTCCTATCTGGCCAACCTGCATTTAGAATTTCCCTTTCTACTCCCATCTACTCTATCTTCCAAACAACTATCAAAGTTGTTTTTTACAACTCTTTGATTCGTCATAATATTATCCTCTAAAATCCTTCAATGCATCTTTTTGTTAGTTTCAGGATAACATCTAGACTTCCTTTGTGCTTCAATGATCTGGCCCTTGCCTCCTATTTTTATTGTTTCTCCTTCCTCTTCCTCCTTTACTCTTCTCCTCCCTACACCCCTCCAATATGTTGTACTCTTTTTATAGCATGCTATTCTTCCATGTCTTTGTACGCATGACTAAGTCTACCTAGAATGCCCTGACTGATTTACCCAGCTGGCCCCTCACATCTTTGTCTTCCGAGGTAAAATGGACCCATTCCCGGCCCTTATATTGATCACAGCATTATCATTCTCTGACTTTTATTACAGTGTTAAATGAGATGCTTGAAAATGCTTAGCACAGTGTGAGGCATTTTCTAAGTGTTCAAATTGGATTACTATGGTAATGAATGATGGCACCGATAGTGATGCTCTGTCTTCTAGACTGTGATCCTGAAGAAACAGAACTTTTGTGCTCTTCCTTATCACCATCCAGCACAAGGCCCCCTGACATAGAGTAGGCATCCAAGAAGTTCTTTGACTTAAGATCAAAGAGACATATACAGGATGTTCAGAGAAACTTTATTTATAATAGGAATTAATAGTAATAATAATTGTAATAAATAAATAACCAAAAATTAGAAAACCTAAGCATCTGTTGAACAGGCTAAACCACAGAAAAAGGTCCAAGGACAAAGACCGTTGAAAACAATGACTCAGAATCAGCTAATGTTGCTTCTTGGTTCAGCTCGTTCCTAAGAAATCATATAAACACCTGCTTGCATGTGGCCACAAAGCCTGTGTTCTCACAGATGTGCATCCAAAGTTCATGGTCCCCACAGTCCTTGTGATGTGAAGAATATGGCAAGGTCAGAGGAAGTCAGACGATGGGCCTTTGGCTTTTTTAACATTGGCTGGGAGGAGAGGCCCTGACAGGATGCCTGGAATCACCACTGCCCCCCCCCCACACACACACATTGTTTGTTACTACATCATGGAGTTTACCCAAGATTTCAGGGCAATTATGCTCACCATATTCATCTATAGGAGAAAGGACACTTGAATATTGTTTTCACCAATGTACCAGACAAGATGCAACCAGGAAAACAGAATCTACACCAATTATTTTAAGAGAATTTAACATAGGGATTTGGTTAAAGAGGTATTTGATGAATGAAGGACATGAAAGGAACCCTTGGGTAGCAAAGAGAACTACAGAAAGCAGCTACCACTCCTGTGTTTGTGACCAGAGGGAAGAGAGGCTGTGAGGGGTTGGAAGCTTTCCAGAGGAGCCTGTGGAGCTGAGAGCCAGATCCTGAGAGGCAGATCCCCAGGGAGCTAGGACTCTAATCTCTGGAGAAGGCAATGGCTGGTGCTGGTAGTTTTGAAGAAAGGCAATGACACTGGTTCTGTCAGAATGGGAACAAACTGAAAATTAGAGGCATCTGCTACCCGAACGAACTACAGCCCCTGGGTGGATGGGACAATTGTGATAGATGAGCAAACAGAGTCGGCGTCGCCTCTCTTCCAACCTTCCGTATTCCTCTAGTGCCCCCTATCGGCAGAGTGTAATAGGGAGCCAGGAGGCAAAGGAGAAACAGGTTTGCCTAGTCCTACCGCACCATCACGAAGAATGGAGAAGTGTGGGTTTGGAGCTGAGTGACAACAGCTTAATAACTAGCACATTCATATAACTGCACACCATACAGCAGTGAAAACGCGTGAAATTAGAGTGATGCTTATTTACATGGATTAAGCTCACAATTTCTTATATAGAAACAAGAAATGCAATGTATTTCTATGCAATAAATATGCATATATACATAGTTCAAAAAAATGCAAAATGGTACTAAGCAGGAATATGTACATATGTAATAAACTACCAGGAAGTCATGGGAACGATCTAGAAAAATCTTAGGATAGCGATTTCATCCAGAGAAGGGACCAGGGAAAAGAGGAGAATATGATTGGAAGGGAACACAAGGGGCAGCCTGCTTCACTGCATAAACTGGGCAGTGGGTACATAGGTGATTGTTATGCAATCCTTTATAATTTCTGTGTGTCTGAAACATTTTCATAAATTTTTTTGAGACAGAGAGAGAATGTGTGATCTGGCTGTAGTCAACAGCAGGAACTCTACGGGAAGTGTATGAATCTGGTGATTGGAAGTAAATTTCCAAGGAAAACATGGACAAATGCAGTTTCTTTCTGTCTCTGTTTCTGTCCTATCTCCCCCACCCCGGCCCCCCTCACTCCTGTGTGTGTGTGTGTGTCTTTATCCCTACTCCCTCCCCCCAATTAGGAGCCAAATACCTTCCCATAAATCCCAAAGACTATGAGCTTCTTGAAAGCTAAAGAAGCTTTTTTGTTTCTAGGTATCAGGGATTCAAAGAATAGTGCATGTTACTCTGCACAATAAGCATCTGTTAACCAGATGAGGGATGCCACTTCCCTCTTTACCATGTTCCATCCAAAGAAATTTTAGACTCTTACCTAACTTTCAAAGTCGCTGTTGAAAATGAATGTTTTTTTTCAGTTCTCCTTGATTTCTTTTAGGTAAACTTGAAAAACTAACTTAGTCTAACATAATAATCAGGGTCAACAGTTTAATAAAATGGTCTGCAAAATAGGAAATGCCAAAGCTTGGGAATAAGACTATTAAAATTTCTCTCAACATTTATTTTCCATATAAAAATTTAAAAAGAAATTGAAATCTACTAGCATTTTAAAGAATTGATTGACAAAGATACTCTTTTTTCGGTGAAGAATTTATTTATTTATTTGACAGAGAGAGACAGCGAGAGA